GGCTGGGTGGGTCGCGTCGAGATTCCTGAAACTCACAGTCGCAGCTGGGCATGCAAGTGAGAGCGTGAACTTTAACCTCTGTGGCACTTTGAAGTGTTAGTATATCATACTCTGGCTGGGTTTTCATCCACCCACGGGTACCAACTCCACCAAAAACCATAAAATAAACCCCATAAACTATTGTTTATTTTACCAGGTAAGGCCCACGGAGGTATACAGCTCTTTCTTCAGAAGCGACCTAGCTATCACAAACGACAGCTCAACAAAGTGGCTTATCATGTGGACATTTATCGCAGCCAAATACTCGAAGTGCATGTTTCTAAATGTGCAGGGGAAACCCAGAAATTCAACACGACCACACAGAGAGACGCGCAAACTCCAAACGTACAGGCGTCAGGGTTGGGCTCGAACCCACCACGCCTGACGTGTGCCCCGCTCGAGGTAGTGAGATATCTCGCCACCGTGACGCCCGTAGAGGATTAGGTGAGAGAATCGGGCTTGGACTCATAGCTGCTCGGATAGTTGCAGGTCAGGACGAGACGCAGTACTGCACTTGTGGCTGGTTGGTTAGGGGTAGAAATAGTACTGGTTAGCTATTTACTTACGGTTATACTGGTAGGAACCTGCTGGTTACACCAGCCCACAGGGGATTATTGTGTCCGTCCGTCGTGCATCCAAAATGGGAGGGGTGGGGCTGGGTGGAGAGGGGAGGGTGGGGAGGGGCTGGGTGGGGAGGGGAGGGTGGGGAGGGGCTGGGTGGGGAAGGTGGGGCTGGGTGGGGTGGGTGAGGAGGGGAAGAGGCTGGTCACCCCGTGGTGCCCTTATAAAACTCAACGTTTAACCTACTCACGCCGGCTTGTGCCCTCCCTCACAGTTGGCCATATTTGCGGAATACACCACGCCGCCGTTGACCCTGGCGATTGACCGAGCAACCCAACGTTCCGACCAGCTCCCTCCGCAGGAATGTGTTTGAGAGCACAAGACTTGTATCGTGTGGCTACTCGGCTACGTGGTTAGGGATTTAGAACTGTTTGGTTGGAACTGCTCCTTGGAACTGCTCTCTGTCTCGAGTTGACAGTATTGTAGTGTCCTTCCCCCGCACGGCTGGCTACGCACCGGTGCGAAAGACGTTCAGCAAACATACATAAGACACATTACCAGTGGCGAGCTGCCTATGGTAATGAGTGTTTGCCTGGATAGCCACCCCCGTCCCCAAACTCCATTCCCCCTCACCTGCCCCCCCCCCCCACCTCGCCACTCCCCACGGCAATGCCTTGCCCCTGTCCACCGCGTGTTTTTTTTCCTGCTCTTCGTTTCTGATGCTCGCAGTGCCATCCAGCGGCCACGTGGGGAACACTTCCATTTTGTTATTTCCAAGCGATGCCGTCCCTGAATGACATGTCACGTCGTCGTCATCATCATCACCTGAGAATATTCATCACTGGTCATGGTCAATCCACTGCTGAATGAAGGCCTCCCCGAGCTGACGCCACCTCTCACGAACCTGCAATGACCATTGCGCCGACGTTTTTTTGTAAACTATGAAGAAGGCATTCGACTCTATGGACGTTTAAAAATATGTAATGAAATGCAGTGGGTTTTTTTAGAAAATCAAAGGCAGTGTTAACCACAACGGCGATAAATATTTGTTTCAGAATGTACTTTACTTTAATGTTATTACTTTTTTTACCTCTCACGTATAGCGCTTTGAGATTACACGTTTTGAAAAGGCGTATTATTAAACTGAGTTTATTATATTAGTTAGATTACCATATTCTTTGGGTCTTTCGGTAAAGTCACGTAGATAGGTTCAAAGAAAACCTATCTACGTGACTTTACCGAAGCACACAAAGAATATGAATCCCTGCAGTCACGAAAGCTTTAAGTCACGATTTAATTAGATCACCGTTTTAGTCTTGCCCCTAATTTACTTCGGTCGTGCGCCCTAGCCTCGTGTCGCGAACCGACGAAGCCGTTTGGAAGTCGAGCAGAACTGTGAATGCACGAAGCGTTGCCACCTGTCCGGGTTTGACCCCGTTCAGTCCGGGCATGCCCATCGACCTATGTTCGGGTGGTCAACAGGTGTATGATTCGTACCGTAGATCTGGTAGTACCGATATCACGATGAACTTCATCACATTACGCTTGCATAGTTTTGGCAAAATACCTCTTGCCGACTCAAAAATGTGTCCGGGCTTAATCCACCGTGGGGAAGGCGGCGACCTTAAATGCCCCCCCCCCCCCCGTGTCTTTAGAGAGCAATTACGGAGGGAGGGAAATAAAAAAAATGTCCACCGGAGTTTTATTGAGAGAAAGAAAAAACCCTTCAAGTCACATTTTTGTCCTTTACAGAGGAGGGAGGGGGGGCGGTTTCCCACACTGAGTTGCTTTGAAACTGGGTCTGTTCATTTCCATGCCGTTTGTAATTCTCGTGGCTGGAATGTATCGACTTTAAATGAGAGGCGACATTGCGCGCGATGCTTTTGTTTTGTGCTGCCAGTCATTGGCCAGCGCCCTGCGATCATCTACGCCGGTACACTTGAGAACCCAGTTGAATTATCTTTCGTTTGGCTGGAACATGGATTCGAACCCAGAATCGCATGTTAGTGCCGGATCAGCCCTCTGAATTCTGAGCCTGTAACTTCTGGCTCACGCCAATGCCGGCTGAACTAAACTAGTTTTTTTTATTTTACCAGGTAAGACCCATGGAGCTATACAGCTCTTTTTCAGAAGCACCCTGGCTATCACAAATGATAGCTCAACGAAGTTGCCTATCACATGGAAATGTATAGCAGCCAAATACTCCAAACGCATGTTGATTCTAAATGTGGAGGGAAAAACTGGAGGACCTGGAGAAAAATCCACGCGACCACGGGGAGAGACACACGCAAACTCCAAATATACAGCAGCAGGCGTCAGGGTCGGGATCGAACGTACGACCTCCTGCATGCCAGGCGAGGGAGTTAACATCTCTGCACCGTGACGGAAATGGCCTCCACTAGAGGGAGTTCGAGAGAATCCCTGCACAGAGAAAGTGGCCTCCGCCTGGCACGCTGGTCTTGCAAGAGGTGGCAGTATCCAGCACCGAAACTCCGCCACATTTAAACTGTACCCCAACATGTTTTTCAACACGTTTATGATGTGCCGCTCTAGCGATGTCAGCAACTATTTGCACAGCCGTTGTAGATTATTATTTGTGTCCACATGACTGAACAGAGAGTCACGCGGAACCAGGTCAACAAGAAAGCGGTAACAATAGCGACTTATCACACATGATTACTCAAGAACGCCTCGCCGAGTCTCATGACTATTTCAGATGTTACCTATCTCGCCTGGCACGCAGGAGGTCGTGGGTTCGATCCCGACGCTGACGCCTGCTGTATATTTGGAGTTTGCATGTGTCTCTCTCCCCCCGTGGATTCTTCTCCGGGTCCTCCGGTTCCCCCCCCCCCACCACGTTTAGAATGAACGCTCGTTTCGAGTATTTGGCTGCTAGAAATGTCCACGTGATAAGCCACTTCGTTGGGCTATCACTTGTGGCCAGGTCGCTTCTGAAAAAGAGACATACGGCTCAGTGGGCCTTACCTGGTAAAATAAAAAAAGTTCATAGTTTATTCGTGGTCGGGATGGAGGGGGGAGGGGGCTATGGTCACCTCGTGTAATTATGTTTTTCTAATTTGAACCACGACGTTGGTATTACGTAATTTCGCTTTTGTAAATGACGTCACGGGAACGCCATGCCCCGTTTACAAAATACAGAAGAGGGGGGGGGGCAGCATCGCACGTCACGGAGAGGCACCCCGCCACTCCCAACTCAATTATCTGGCTCAACCACCTAGCAACAATAATAAGTGTTGTTGTTGCTGCTGCTCGACATCCACCATCAAGCCGTGCGACGACGACGAAGACCCGCGGTGTTAATCGGGGCGGCCCGCTGGATTCGCACCGCGAACCTCCGCAACAAGCGGTGGATCGAGCTCTCGCCCACCGAGGCCCGCTCGGTCGAGCTCGCTGTGTTTCCTGCCTCCCGGCTCGGCCAACGTTAGACGGCGTCTCGTAAATGTCTTTGCCCACTGCTCCAATGAGAAACCTTGCGCTGTGCAGCGCTCCTAGTTGCTGTGTCCATATTCACACAAAGACAAAATGCACCCCCTCCCCTCCGTGAGAGCCTTTAACAGGCTGTTGGGGCAAGTACTGTTGGCGAGCAGCACCTATGAATAAAATAATGTCGTTTCGTTTAGAATTTCTGATCTCCCAGTAACTCTACATTAGACCGGTTGGCGGGCGATGTGTGAGCGCCTCTCGTGGCTGCAAGGTGAATCCACTTACACGCATCATCATCAGCCATCGATTTGTCCACGTCAGTGCCGGATTATCCGAGGAGCAAAAGTAGCTACTACATATGCTACGGGCCCCGCACTTTCAAGGGCCCCGCGCTAAATGCTTTCGAGCTATCAATTCCGGTTCAGTGATTCTGCACTTGCTCTATTACTATAGTACTATACCGCCTTCAACTTTTATGAACGACAAGGTGTTTAAGGTTAGCGATTCGTCTATTATCTGGCTATAAAGCTAGTGAAAAATACAATTACTTTGCGATACACAAGTAAAAAAAATCGTGTTTTAATATTTACGTGTTTTTTTTATTTAGGGCCCGTTTATAACATCACATGCTACAGGCCCCCGCAATAGCTTCATCACTCGCCACGTTGATGCACGTGCCACTTGCTCCTCTCCCCGTCTCTCAGTCAGGGGGGGGGGGCCTCTCCCCGCTTCTTTGCGCACTTTACAATATTTGCTAATAAAAAAAAATCTTCTGCTTCTTCCGTAATTGATGGGATAGTTAATCGTCACCACGTCACAGGAGGCAATACGCACGGGTTAAACAACGTCCTCTTTTACGATGTTTCCACGTAATCGAGTTCCGCTTTGCAAAAACGCTCCCAAACTTGTTTAAATTCAAGTTATAGACGATAAAAAAAGAAAATTTCACAATAACGTAATATATATATTTTATTATTGCAGCATTTGTCAGGGGTGTGCATGGAATAATTAATTAAAATCACAAACGGTGGGGTGAAGAGACACAATTGGTGTTCTAAAAAGCACACGACCACTCGTACATATAAAACAAAAAAAGATGCCCCGTATAGCCTCAACAGGCGCTCTTCCACCTCCAACGCAGCTTATATATAAGCTCCTAGCTTGGTAGTGTCTCATTCTTCACCTGAAGACGGCTGCTTGCGTTGTAGCCGAAACGTCGTGAGAATTATTTAATTTTATTATGTTTTATTTTTATTATTTTATTACTTCCCTTCTACGTGACTTTACCGAAAGAACCAAGAAGATGAACCTCAACAGACTATTGGGGCAAAGTGCTCTTGGCGAGAACCTTTGAAGACCGGCACGGCACACAATGACGCGGTGGTGTGGCCGAGTTACCGCTCCCGGCCGCCTTCGTCTCCCCCAGCTGTCATGTTTGCACGCCGCACCGTGGACACTCATTTTCAGGCTGAGTCGACCTAGGGGTGGCCCAGGACCGTTTTAGAATTATCGCCCACCGAAGTTGGCCGTGAGCGGGAATCGAACCGACGTCGGCTGGATTCACAGGGCAATGAATTAACCACTGCGCCACCGCTCCCCATGGGCACACGCGAAGACAAAGGTTCCCCGTATAGACATCACAGACTGCTGGGGCAAGTGCTGTTAGCGAGCACCTATGAAGGCCGGCACGGCACAAAGGCGGTGGTCGGCCAGTACCACTCCCCACCGCCTTTGTTTCCCCAGTGCTGATGTTGACACACACACATCATCACCGGGTACTCATTTGAGGCTGAGTCGACCTAGGAGAAGCCAAAGACCGGTTCAGATAATTAATCGTCACCGCTGTTTTTCCGCGAGCGACGCTTGAACTCGGGCTCACGGGGTTCGTAGCGCAGCAGCGCGCTCACCGCTGCGCCACCGCTCGCGCACGGACACACGGAGACACTTTCAGCGTGAAAAAGGAGAAAAAAAACTGTTTTCAAAAATGTGAATCGGCAACACGCTGAGTTTCCAATTACGCGGATTCAAACGGCTCGCACACATGAAACGCACGAGGTGCGGTCCCCATTCAGGTGCGTGTGTACTGGAGAGAGGAGCGCTCTGTCAATCCACTAGCTGGATAGGGGTATGTGCCACCCCGTGCGAGCCGTGGGGGTTATTTGACCATACTTCGCCACTGTGGTCCACGTGGGTTGGTGGCGCGGAAGGTAGACGCGGGGGGGCACAGAAAGTACCCCGCGCCGACCGGCTTGGTGAAACATGGTCAAGTTCCCCCCCCGCCCCCCACGACCATCATCCAGCAGTGGATTGATAAGAGTGGCTGCAACGTGTACTTGCCATTTTGTAACCGTCCAATCCATTTTCGCGGACAATTGTTTTAACTTCATGAAACCTTATCGCCCGTGGCACAAGCACCACGGGAAGGGCGTCGAGTCAAGGATGTACAATGCATCGGTGTAAACAACATTGAAGAACGGGAAAGGGGAGAGGTAAGAGAAAGATTAAGAGATAAGATAAGGAATGAGAAACGAGAGGAAAGGCGACGGAGAAACGGGGTCACGGGGTCAGAGGATACGAAGACGAGGAAGAAGAGGCGACATTGACGCTGCACGGAGCGGCGTCTGTTTTCACAGTGGGCGGGGTGAGGCGAGAGATTCAGAGTGGGGGTGGCCAAACAGAAGTCACGTGAGTTACATGAGGCTTCAGCCGATGTAGATTCTGTATACACATTTAAGACTAATAATTACCGGAGCGCACACTCGCACACGGTAATAGGAAGGGACAAATTGGCAAGCCAGCGCTGTGCCAGACTCGAACGATGGCTGTACCAAAGATCAAAGTGGCTTCCTGCTCAAACGAGCATTGAGGCAGAGTTAATGCCCGGTTCATAGCTCTGAGACCGTGGTGGAAATTACACATTCCTATGGTCGTGAGGTGATGGTGATACATCCAGGCGTAATTGCAACAAAAAAAAATTGGGGCTTGTGCACGAGTTATTTTAACTAGCGAAAGACAAAATACATTTATTTTTACATAATAAAAAAAAATTCTATTAGTTGCAAGATTAATTTAACGATCTTGTGAAATTGCATTCGCACTAATCTCGCGTGAACATGTCTCTTCATTTTCTACCCAAATTGATTGTAAATTGCAATTTGTGGAAACGCACACACACACATTTCCCAGAAGCCCAAGGGCACATCGGCAGTATTTGATTGCCACAGCAATGCATTGTCTCACTGCATCGTATCCGGCTGGAGTAGGTGGCAGGTGCCAAGTAGCCACATCCACAGCGATACTGGATGTGGTATGCCGGGCGCGGACTGAAATATTCCGTGTCTGCCGATCAATGAACATAGGTGGCGCATGATTACCATTGCTACAGCCCACAGCGAGGGGGATACTGGATGTTGTGTACTGGGTGTAAAACGAAGGTGTGGTTCCAACCGTGACGGAACCAGGGGTGCAGGCACAGGACCGGGAGCGTTCCCTTCGCCCTGCTCCATTGGACCACCCAGCGGCGACCAAGGGCCTCGGGGTGGGGGGGGGAAGCCACTCGCGTAAAACTCCGCGGCGACGCCACTTAACCCTTTACTTCTAGATTTGAGGCTTTCGTGACTGCAAGGATTCATATTCTTAGGTTTTTTCGGTAAAGTCACGTAGGTAAAAAATTAAAATTAATAAAAGTAAAATAACAATAAAATAAAAATCACGACGTTTCGGAGGCAACACAAGCTTCCGTCTTCAGGTGGAACCTTCACAGCACGATAGCTGTATCAAATTTTACTTTAATTAATTTAAAATTTTTACCTACGTGACTTTACCGAAAAAACCTAAGAATACTTAACCCTTTCCCGTTCCGTTCACCTCGGAGTCTCGGGACGCGCAAGCGGCTCGGATGGTGATTGTATCTGGAGGGGCGCAGCGCCACTGTTTGTAAAGATACTGTAATCACCGCAGAGAACCGTAGCGACACGACCGCACCCTACGATAGCTGGCGCGGAACTGTGCCGCACGCCCTCACGCATGGCCTTGTGGGAGCCTCGGTATCGATAAATTACTTTAATTTTTCTTCCGCTTCCATTCCGATGACGTACACGTGCGCTCTAGGAGTTCGGGCCGCCCGTTGTTTCAGCTGCCATGCCGAGAGTGCGCATCGAACGGGACGCCCTCTGGGTCGCACGTCCGTTGTGCCCCAACTGTTACGGAAGAGCAGAGGCGATCACTCCATCTCTTTAAAAAAAAATAAGAAATCCGGAATTGGCCCCTGCGGCTAAAATCGGCCTCGGTCGCGCCTGGACGCTCGCCGGCGCTCGTGAATTCTCAACTCGTCGCAGGGTCCGGGTTTGTTTTCCCGGCCTCCCTCCCCAACACGTCCGACGGAGCGGCCACGGAGATTCCCCGCGCACCAGCGAGGGCTCCACACTCTTCTCCACCGCCCCTCCCCCAAGAATAAAATATACATATTTACAAATCGTGAATGTACAGGCCTAGTGGTGTAGCGGCTCATCGAGACTGTGGTGCTCTACGCCGCGAGAAGGGGGCAAGGGATGGAGGCCGCTCGATTGGACGGGGTGCTCCGATTTGTCGCGGTAATTTTCTATGGGGCCATTTTCTTGCCACCAGTATGACCTGGATGCCTTGTGATCGATGTCTATTTGGCGTTAGAACATCTTAACACCGGTATTCTTGCCAGAAAGGGTAAAGCCTATTATTTTTTTCCCATCTTGTTGCAACAGCAATAGGTGGTCAGGGGTGAGTGTGTGGACCTGTTGTAAGTTGGCGCTTCATGAGTGGCGTGATTGTATGGGTGGGGGAAGGTGATGAGAGAAGACTTTTAAAAAGATGACTATTGCAAGTTCGGCGTGTGTGTGTCTTTGTTCCATGTGTGTTCCGTGTGTGTGTTGCGTGCTCCGTGTGTGTGTTGGTGTCTATTCTTCTTCGGAGTCCTCCAGGAGCGCCCCCTTCTCCTTGTTGTGGTTCTTAGAGAGCGGAAGCAACGTTCCCAGCTCCATGTGTGGAACGCCACGGTTCCTGAAATTCCCTAGACTGAAATACACGAATACACAGGTTAGCACACACACACAATCAAAGATCCCCCGTTTAGCCTTAACACACCGTGAGCACAAGTGTTGTTAGCATGCGCCTACGAAAGCTGGTCACAGTCAGCACGACTCACCAGCGGAGAGTCACACAGAGGTGCCTCTCTCTCAGCAACACTCACCAGAAGAGCGCATCACTCACCAGAAGACCGCACCACTCACCAGAAGACCGCCGTGTAGCTGAGGGAGATGTACAGGATGGCGCCCGCAAAGTGCCAGCAGAAGCACATGGTGATGAACATCATGTTCCCCATGTCCGCCTGGTCCCACTCGGGCGCGCCGTTCGGAGGGTACAGCACGAAGCCGATCTACACATGACGGCACAACGGCAAGAGTATAAGTATCATCATCATCAGCAGCAGCAGCAACCATGACCTATCTACTGCTGAAGGACTCCACCAAGTCCACGTCGTCTGTCATGGCCCTGGAATGTCAGAATCCGTCTAGCTCCTAGACGGACGAGCTGGCCTTATCGCGCTCCATCTCCTTCGTGGAGGCTGACCAGAGTCCGCGTGATGGTTTACGCTTTCCAACACGATCAGCAAAGGCATCGCGGTTCACTTGCGGCAGCACGGCTGGCTACGTACGGTGCGCAAGAAGTTCAACGCACACACACACGTGACGAGCGCGACCTTATAGGGCATTCCCTCTGGCGCGCCCCCACCCCGCCACCCCCTCCCGCCCACCCGGTCCCCAGAACCCTCCCCACCCGGGGGCACGAACCTGGAAGAACCAGGTGCCCTGCAGCAGCGCGAAGCTGGTGCGCAGCAGCTCCAGGATGGCGTTGTCGCGGAGGAAGACCTCGAGGAAGATGGTGAGCGAGCCGGCGAACACGGGCAGCAGCAGCAGCGTGTGCACGTGCACGTCCAGCATGGTGCGTCCGTGCAGGTGGAAGTAGAAGAGGTAGCCTGGGGGGAGGGGGGGGGGTGGCGGAGACGACGGCCGTCGCTTAGTCTGGAATTAACGATCATAACAAACACGAATTGTTAACGACGACAATAGATGTGGGCTCGCGAGGCGCCGCCGATGGGGTGAGCGACGAGGAGGCGCCAGGAGGAGGGGCCGCGGACGAGCGGGACTCAGAATATGTATTGACACTGGAGAAATCCGATGAGCTATAAAGCTCTTTTTCACAGATGTCCAGTAGGGGCACGAGGTCTGAACGTTACGACGATGGGCAATGCAAAAACACGATTGGAATGCAAAATATTGTAAAGGTAAACAAATCACTTCAATCATATACACAAATAAAACAATTTTTTTTTATCTGACCAGGTAAGGAAGGCAGCAGCCAGCCGCTGAGCCGGTGCTACCTGCAATTGCCCAAGCTCTGCGGTCCTGCGTATGTTGAGGGCAATTCACGAGTGTTTGACACGTCAGAGGAAACAGAAGCACCGGGGAGACAACCCGCGCGTTGTCTGCGGTACCGCGCTCCGCTGGAGAGCCACGGCATGGCGCCTCCTCCTCACCCATTCAGGGCTCACGTGGAGCGGCGCCATCACCGCCTTCGGTGCGTTAGAGCACACGGGCGGACGGGCGGACGTCACGCCGGACAACCGCTTAATTTCCGCAGAAGCTACCCACATGAAGGTGCGGCGAAACGTTGGACATCGTGTCTAAAGAACACGGGTAAGGCACAACCGCGAACGCCCACGCTGTGCTCGGGTAGCGACTTGAGTTCGCGCATTTTGCATTTCGCACGCGAACAGGCGAAGTGTCCTCGCATGGACGCGCGCATTTTTTGACGGGCATGGCATTAATTTGCCCCGTTAAAAATAAAGTGGTAATTATATCTCTCATCGTAGCCACGGTTACGGAAGCCTCCACTCCGAGAGGGGGAGAACGAATCTCACGAGATGATACAAGTGGCCCCGCTCGCCCAATCCCCCCCCCCACCCCCCCGCCGAGCCCCCCCTCCCACCACCCACGCAACCCACGCGTGATCGTTAAAAATGAACGGTGCACACGGAGGGAGGCGCGAAATCGCATTCCGCCAAATTCACGCGCCGAGCGTTAGTTGGAGGAGTCACGCGAGATGGTGGTGCGCGATGAAGCAACTCATTTGTTGCGAGTTTGAGAAAACGGCGTTCGATCAGCGAGCCGCTACCTGCTTTGGCGTGCGGTTTAGAAGCGCGGTCGTGAGCCAAAAAAGCACAAAGAAAAAACAAGGTGACCAAAACAAGGAGCGTGCAGAGAGAGGTGCATGCTGGGAATTACACTAACATTCAAAAGGAGGGACGCACGCATTACAGAACGTAAGCAGGTTAACAACATCATCACAACTGTTTAGAACAATCCACTGTGAATAATGACGGAGTCGGAGCGAGGCAATCAGCTGATGTCCCGGTGGATCATTGTCCCGCGGAATCGTGAGCGATGGTGACGATTTGGGGAGGCCTTCATCCAGCAGCGGACCGATCGGGGCTGCTGGCGACTATGATGACGATGAGACAAAATATCCATGGAACCTTTTTTTGCCAGTATCAAAAATAAGAATAGGTTTTGCCCTTTCTGAAAATTTATTTTTACTTAGCGAATGCTTTCTGGCAATCAAACAGGTGTTTTAGATGTTAAGATGTAAAAAAAAAATTGGATACCTTTTGCAAGGCATCAAGAATCGGAATCTTTATTTGACCGTGCAGGAATCCGATGTGCTACGAATCCCTTTTTCACAAACGCCCAATAACAACGCGACGAATCATTTTCCAATTGGAAACTCTAATGAGGTGAACGTCGTCGAAAGACCAGGGGGCGGCCTGTGATCTCCCAGGAGGCTCATCAACGTGCTCGGCCGAGCGACTGCGAGCGCGCGCCGCGAGTCACTCAGCGTCCCTGTGGAGGCGGCGGACGGTGGGTTTGTGGATCACACAAACTCCCCGAAACTCCCTTCCCTCCGCGGGCAGTCTCGGTGCCGTACCCTGGCTCGCCAGGAGACGGCAGTCACAGCGAGTGGGCTAAATCCGCCAGCCCTTTTTAAATCCTTTATATTAAGTTCACTTGCTTGATTGCTTGCGCGCTTAGGACCGTGCAAATATTTCAGGTCGTTTTTTAACCCACTTCCCGTGATCCAATCGAGCTGACATTTCGCGTGCGTGACAATTTATTTTCGTGAAATTTTTTTTCAAAAATTGTACACTTTTTAGGAAAAAATAAATAATATTTAATTACCAATTGCTTAATGGTGGCAGGCAATCATCTGACCCATAGGTGGCAGCCATCTCAAGCCAGAGGACGAGAGTACTCTAGCCGCCACGCATATAAAGGATTTATAGTGAAAAAATGTGTTTTTACGGGTTAATTTTTTCTATCTGTGCGGAGATAGAGCGTTGCCCCCTCGCGCAAGGGCGTGGGGTTTTCTCCGGGTGCTCTGGTTGCTTTCCATCCCACTTGCGCAATCAACACGACTCACTCATCATTAAATCCGCTGAAAACATCTTCAAATAAAAGCCCGACAAAAGAGCCCTCTGACTCAGTGCGGCTTTCCTGGACAAATAGGTGAATTATCATTCAGTAATTAGATTCAGCACACAGATCAAAGACACGGCAGGTACAATACGCGCTAATGTGTTTACGCAAAGTGTTCCTAGCAAATATGGCCCCGTGCCCTTCCGTGTAGTTGTCATGCCGTACGCAGCTCTCCCATGCGTTTTTCGCATCGCTCGGAACAATGTCCGACGTTTCCCCTCCAGACCCTATGTTGCAAATGGACGGACGCAGGGACGGATGGACGGACAGACTAAGCCAAGGTGTGAATATTCTCCAGCGAAGTCAAGAGCTTTAGTGCGTAATTGCATTAGCTCTGTCCGATTTTGGAGCTTCCTGAAGAAGCTTCCGAAACTTGAAAGCGAAACGTCAGACGTGGCGGTACACATGGCGGAGAACGTGTGCGCACCATCATAATTAATCTTATTATAATAAAATCGTACAAGTGTACGGACCTCCATTCAGAAAGAGGAAAATGATTAACTCGTTGAGACAATTCAATGTTGAGTGTTGGGTTGCCGTGGTTTTAATCTCGCAAACGGATGTTTGGATTTGACCGCAAAGCGCCATCCTCTGTTTTATTTTTTATTCTTCCAGTTAAGCATTTATTTTTTAAACCATAGTTGCGAAACGTGGCTATTGTGCCAATATCACGATCCATACTTGCCTTTCGTCGTAGTTACTAGTATTATTACCGTTATTATTATTTTTAGTTGTATAGAGCGTAAACTAGACACGTGTAGGGCAGCACGCACAGCGCCTGAACGCCTTTTGTTTTGCCCATTAATAAAAAAAACATTCACATTCTCGCGCGAATGGTTTTCCCCTATCAGCCCCTTTCTCCGCTTCCCCCTAATACCTTGTCCGTCACACTCGACACGACAATCATTCGCGTTGTCACGAGGAGAAATCATGCGACTTAAATAAGCCGAAAATGCGTCACCCTCACACATACGGCAAAACCTCGTTATTTCGGTGCACGAGTATTCGTAATTGGGGATAATTCGGCACGGCTGCGCTTTCGGCATATACCTTCTATTAGTGATTCGCCATGAGCCGAATTGCACCTACCGCATAGACTCATTTCAGGATAGCACGTGGAGCGACGCCACGCACCACGACCAAACCGACTCAGTCTGGTGGCGGTACGCGTGGTGAGTGTGAGTGCAAACCCGTCATCACTCTGGATTTCACCTTGCTTGTGTCGTCTGTGCAAGCCAACCCTCTCGTAAATGTCGTCTACACCTACGTCAAGAAGTAATAGAAAGGGACTGAAGTATAAACCCCTTAGTCTGCGAGACAAATCCAAAGTTTTGGATGGAATTGATGCAGGGCGTGTGTCAATGCGCATGATGCGTGAAGAGTTTGACGTAAAATTAGGCACCTTGAACATACGGTTGAGTATGTGCATACTAAGTGCGTTAAGCCTCCCTCTACAAACTCTGTTATCTACCACGTGAAACTACCACATCCTCCTTCTTCGCCTGCAGTGCCAGTTACTGATGGTAAGCGTTACTTTTTTGGAAAATTATTTTTGGAAAACAAATTTGGAGAAAAAAATGTATTGGGGCAGGAAGCACCGGGGAGTAACATTGTACATAATTGGGAATATTGGATCATTTGGCAAGGCCAGAGCCCCATGTGTGTCGAATTAACAATGGTTTATTGTATTGTACAATTGTGCGTCCAACTATGACCCATATCTCGAAGAGGGGGGTCCTTGCCGATACAACCTAGCAGTTCTCATCAGCATTAATTCAAGCAAGCCTGCTGATGAGATCCCGATTGTCAAAACTGGCTCAGAGTTTGCTTGTACCGACTCAATGCAATCGTGTACTTCTGGAAGGTAGTGGGGGCTGATGGGATTTGTGAAGAATACTTTAATATTTTTACATGGAGAGACGCAGATGTGCAGGAGACACTCTCTGCCTATCTATTTTGTCTGCTACAATCTAACAGTCGTCACAGTTTGGTGAGATAAGGGACAACAATCATTTCTGGAATGCATTTGGAAGTCTTCAAACGCTGGTCACCCATTCCACTTGAGTGAGACAATCCACGCCTCGCTCCCGGAATGCCTTCGGAATTTCTCAAACGTCTAGGACCCATCGCACTTAGTGGAGGTGAACGCACCGAGGTGAACGTGTGGAGGTGAACGTGTGGAGGCGAACACGTGAAGGTGAACGTGTGAAGGTGAACGCACCGTAGGTGAACACGTGGAGGTGAACACGTGGAGGTGAACGTGTGAAGGTGAACACGTGGAGGTGAACACGTGGAGGTGAACGTGTGAAGGTGAACACGTGGAGGTGAACACGTGGAGGTGAACGTGTGAAGGTGAACGCGTGAAGGTGAACACGTGGAGGTGAACGTGTGAAGGTGAACACGTGGAGGTGAACGCGTGAAGGTGAACGCGTGGAGGTGAACACGTGGAGGTGAACGTGTGAAGGTGAACACGTGGAGGTGAACACGTGGAGGTGAACGTGTGAAGGTGAACGCGTGAAGGTGAACACGTGGAGGTGAACGTGTGAAGGTGAACACGTGGAGGTGAACGCGTGGAGGTGAACGTGTGAAGGTGAACACGTGGAGGTGAACACGTGGAGGTGAACGTGTGAAGGTGAACGCGTGGAGGTGAACACGTGGAGGTGAACGTGTGAAGGTGAACACGTGGAGGTGAACACGTGGAGGTGAACGTGTGGAGGTGAACACGTGGAGGTGAACGTGTGAAGGTGAACACGTGGAGGTGAACGTGTGAAGGTGAACGCGTGAAGGTGAACACGTGGAGGTGGACACGTGGAGGTGAACACGTGGAGGTGAACGTGTGAAGGTGAACACGTGGAGGTGAACACGTGAAGGTGAACACGTGGAGGTGAACACGTGGAGGTGAACGTGTGGAGGTGAACAATGCGCACCTTCCACGAAGACGGCGAGCGCCAGCATGAGGCGGTCGAGGCCGCGGAGGGGCATGCCGCGGCACGTGTGCGTCACGATGTCGGCCACCCCCGAGATGGCGAAGAACAGGTACATGGTGGTGTGCTGCCAGTTCATGAGGTGGTCCCACCCGCCCTCCTGCCGGTTGTACAGCCGCATGTGCGGCCCGTCCGGCACGAACTGCTCCGCCATCATGCCTGACGCACGCGCAGACACGCGCACACCGCCGCCGTCGAACAGCGCTCGTCGCCGTCATCGGCCATCAACCGTCGCCGTCGCCAACGGCCGTCATCGTCGCCGTCATCGTCCACCGAACCACCACAGCTCGACGTCGTCTGTCAATCGCCCGTCGCCAGCGTTCATTGTCATCGATGAATCATTCACCACCGCCGCCGTCACTGCCATTCGCCATCATGCATCAATCTTCACCACCAAAAATCAACATGAACGATCAATCGCCACAACCATCATTATTATTCATAAATCACCACCACAACCATCATCATCATTCATCAATCACCACCACAACCATCATCATTCACCAATCACCACCACAACCATCATCATCATTCATCAATCACCACCACAACCATCATCATTCATCAATCACCACCACAACCATCATCATCATTCATCAATCACCACCACAACCATCATCATAATTCATCAATCACCACCACAACCATCATCATCATTCATCAATCACCACCACAACCATTATTATTAATAAATCAACACCATAACCATCATCATTATTCATCAATCACCACAACCATCATCATCATTCATCAATTACCACCACAACCATCATCATCATTCATCAATCACCACCACAACCATCATCATAATTCATCAATCACCACCACAACCATCATCATCATTCATCAATCACCACCACAACCATTATTATTAATAAATCAACACCATAACCATCATCATTATTCATCAATCACCACAACCATCATCATCATTCATCAATTACCACCACAACCACCATTGCCACCACTCGTCGTCATCAGCACCACCGCCATCGCCACGCAACCCACCGACGATCGAGAAGACCGTCTTGGCAGCGCCCTCGATGATGTCGAGGCGGTTCTCGCTGGCGACGCACGATGATGGGAGCCCCGTGGGGCCGCCACCGCCGCCACCGCCGCCACCGCCCAGCTTGCGCTGCCGCCAGCGGTACCTGAGCGGGTACTTGATGGCCCACCACACGGCGAACAGGATGAAGAAGCTCCCGGGGAGGGCGTGACCCTTGAAGTTCCCCATCTGCGCGGTCTGTTTGACGAGCGACGCGGACGTGGGTGCTCGCGCGCGTGTGCGATCGTTTGGGGGCCGCTCTTTCGAGTGTTCTTGTTCGTTATTCCAGGAGGCACCTCTGGGTGAGCGCCTGTGAGTGGGCGGCGAGGAGAGGAAGAGAGAGGAGGAGTGAGGACGGGGTCAGGGTCAGGGTGGCACGAGTAGCCTCTTGTTCCTGTTCGGTGCGTGGGTGAACCCTTTACAGCAGGCGTTGGGAGACCTTGTCCTCACTGAGGGCCAATTACAGGATGTTGCAATACCTTTGGTGGCCAGACAAAGACAAAGATCCCCCGTGTAGCCTTAACAGACTGTTGGGGCAAGTGCTGTTAGCGAGCACTTATGAAGGCCGGCACGGCACACGAGGGGGTGGGTGGCCAGCACCACGCCCGGCCGCCTTTGTCTCCCTAGTGGCGATGTGTACACACCACACCAGGTACGCAGTTGAGGCCGAGTCGACCTAGGGGAGGCCCATAACCGGTTCAGATAATCGTCACTGGTATTTGCCGTGAGCAGGAATCGAACTCGGGTTGCCGGGTTCGTAGCGCAGCGCGCTAACCACGACGCTACCGCTCCCCACAGGTCGCCAGCCACACATTCACGCACACGCCTTAGCGTTAGGCAATAGCACGAAACAGAAGAATGCGCGTGTCGTGTAAAGAGCCCCCCCCCCCGCCCCTCTCAGTGACACAAGTGACTGAACGTGGCACCGAGACACGCGGCATTGTCGCCAGCTCCAAAAGTATTCTTTGCGATTCTTCCATCGCCACTGTCCCATTCTTGGAGTTCCCTCCCGTCAGTTGTCCCCACATCCACCCAAACCCTCGTATAACACAAAAAACTGTCCAGGGTTTTGCTTGTCTTGAAACAACGCTGCTGAAACGAAGCACTCCCAGAAGGCAGACCCGGCGGCTGGTGAGTGGTGGTGTAAGAATGACTTATATTCTAGTTTATGCGGACATATGTGAAGAAGACGTTGCTTATCTATTTTCTTCTGTCCAGGTTTGACAGCCAAGTGACGGCTTCGAGTAAGGAGAATCAACATCAGAATCTGTATGTACACTGGAGGAATCCGATGAACTACAAAGCTCTTTTTCACAGATGTCCAGACACTGACTTCACCTCTGCTGATGCCGTTTGCTGCCTCCGTTGCGTTTAATTGATTTGCGGAGGGACCGTTAGTGGTGCACAACGCGCCCTGCGGTTTGCTCAGATTCTCTGCACTCCCCCCTCGCCCCCCCCCCCCACACTTTTAAACAAAGTCACGTAACAGGGCAGGAGGTGTCCGATCCTGCGGCGACGCAGCGGTTTTTGCTTTGTGTTCTGCGGGTAACACGACGATGACAACGGCTGCCCTCCAGCCCGACGAGTTATGAAACACAACCCTCGCAACGCAAACACGCGTGTCCGGGGTTCATTAAACATGCATGTGTCACACCTGGCGGCGCGCATGGAGGCGACCGCTGCTGGCTGCCGAGTCGCCTTCGTCTCCCCCAGCTCCCCACCACCCCCCACCACCCCCCACCACCCCCACCACCCCCCACCGCCCCCCACCGCTCCCCACCGCCCCCACCACCCCCCACCGCCCCCCACCGCTCCCCACCGCCCCCCACCACCCCCCACCACCCCCCACCACCCCCCACCACCCCCCACCGCCCCCCACCGCCCCCCAATCGTGGCGCCAGCAATTGAGCCAAGTTTTGGAACGCAAAACAAGCGAGCGGGCGATAGGCGCGAACGCAATGGCCTTCGCCTCCTTGCCAAATCTGTTGCCCCCCCCCCCCCCCCCCATATGAAATAAAAACGAAATCCAGTTTTTTTGTCACGCATCCCATCGGTCACATTTCGGCAGCACTGGGTCAACGCGAGCGCTTGCGATTAGCACGGTTGGCTGCGTACGGTGCGAAAGAAGTTCAAAATACAGACGTGGAAAACTCAGGACCGGTTTTAACATTCAGTGTCTCTCGTCAGCTCTCGAGTCAGACCCGCTTGAACAATGCTCACACTGTGGTAGGGGCTTCCGCGTCATCATCATTACACTGTGTAACATTTTTTTTTGTTCCTGGGTAGTAAGTGTTATTTCCTAACTGCTTATGCCTCACAAGCACAGACAATTGACATTATTCCCCACAAACTTTGCTTTTGTGACCAGGACAGTGATGTTTAGAAATGTACCTATTTTTTGAATGAGAAAACGTGCGAATTTGTGTCTTTTCGTTCACATAAAGTCAGAAAAAACAACATATGAATCAAAATTAACATGTATTTATACTCAAGCAATACAAAAATGACTACAAAATATTTAGAAGTGAGTAGTTTTTCGTCTGGTCAGCAGGGGAGGTAAGATAGAATGGGTTTCACCAGCCCACCGTGACCAGCGTGGCGAAGTATGGTCAAATAATCCCCATGACCGGCACAGCATGAGGAGGCCTTCATCCAATAATGGGTTTGACAAAACACTTAAATAGTAATTAAACACTTAACGGATGACAATGCCTACATGTGGTACACAGTATTCACTTATAATAATCATAAAAATAATCATGGGAGTTTACCTTGAGAAGTCTCAGTGTCTCAAGGTTATTTTTCAAGCGGGTCACCTGGCTGCGTGAGGATGTTTGGCCGATTAGAATCCTTCAAGTTTGGCTTCTTGTGGAAGGAAACCGGAGAACCCCAAAACACACCCCCACCACGCACAGGAGGAGGGACTCACAGACTCGCAGCTCCACACAGATGGATTCAATAAAAATAAATTGCTGTGGTGCCATCTATTTTATCTCTCACCAGGTAAGGCCCACTGAGCTGTCCGGCTCTTTTTCGGAAACGACCTGGCCACAAATGATAGCTCAACGAAGTAGCTTATCACGTGAAAGTGTATTGCAGCCAAATACTCTAAACGCGTGATGTGGATTCTAAATGTGGAGGAAAAAAGCGAAGGACCCGGAGGCAAATCCACACGACCACAGGGAGAAAATGCAAACTCCAAATATGTAGGCGTCAGGGTCAGGATCGAACCCACGACCTCCTGTATACCAGACAAGGTAGTTAACATCTCAAAGCCACCGTGGCACCATCCTGGCCACCTCGCAGTCACAACCCTAAACCTACAACACCTGGTATTCTCACGCAGTCACCCATTCAAGTACAAAGCAGGCTCAAACCTGCTGGAATTGTGTAAATTCTAAATCTTTAATACTGGTGGTAAAATGCCGCCCCCCTACCGGGTATGAAAATAACCAAGCTACGGAAATCCCCACCACCTCCTGCCACAGCCCACATTAACGCGCCCCCCACCCCCCACGATACGATGTTAATAGTTAAATATTTACAATTCGACGATTTATCGGAGATATAAACTTTCCCGTAACTTTTGTCATTTGCATTTCACCTTCTGTTTGTGCGCTGCTGTGTATTTTAAAGGTTCCATCGTCAGCGCCGTGAGCATTCTTTTTACGTGGCCTCGTCAAAGAGGGGTGAAAAAATCCGCTAAAGAAACAAAAACACCACGACTTTTATCCAAAACGGTGCGTGGGTGCGTGCCTCTTAGCCGCGTCTAAACGCGTTGGGGTGGGATGGGGGGGCTGTTCGGAGCCCCCCCCCCCCCTCCACGGCAACGCCCACAGTAGTTTGCACCGCTGACCCTTTAACCCACACACAGACGCATATCGCCAGGTGATGATGGGAGTGGCGCAAGACGAAGCGAAGTTAGCGGCCGCCACTCCAAAGTCCAACGAGGATCTGTCGCGGTGTCACCATGTGGAGAGGCACTTTTGCCCACGTGGCAATTTCGCGTGGTTACACGGACACCCACTTATCAGTTGGCGTTTATCCAAATGTAGGTTGCTGTATAATTTTTTTACAAACCAGATTCCAATTACATTATCCTGCAGACATATACTTTGGTGTGGGCGTTGGCCATCGGGGAGGAGACCACCGGCGTGCTACCAGGGGAGAACCTGGTTCAGCGGAGCCATCTCAGATAATTATCTCACGACGTGTTACTCCGATTGTATCCGTGGAACAGCAGTCGCGTGGCAACCTATCGCCGGCGAGGAGATTTATTTGATCGCTCGTTCGCTCGTTCGTTCAGTCGCTCGCTCAAGAGGCCTTCGCAGCCAATGCCAGTGATGCCATCACACCTCGCCGTCACTTCCTTCGGCCAGGCTGTATGTTGAACTTCTTTCGCACCGTACGTAGCTAACCGTGCTAACCAGAGTTGCAGATGGTGGTGGTAATGGTCAGGCTGTAAGGTACGCTCTTACAGTCTGACCACCACCACCATCACCACCAAAATCTGATGTTAAGTCGCTGACCTCTGGGTACGAGTCCAATGCCCGTCTCAGTCACATGTCCTCCCTGCACCTCCACGCGTCCCACCCATCACTACCTCCTCCACCTGATGTCATCGAAACACCACTTCTAAGCCCTACATATTACTCTCACAGGATCCAACAGGATTGCTCACACTATCCTCATCCAACGGTGAATGGCAATGTGATTGTGACATATATAAATGCAGATAACGTTAACCTTGGTTCAGAAAATAGACCAGCATTAATCAAGGGCACATGCGGCCCAAATCTAAACAATCAAATACAAATGTAAACAACATTACCGCTTGCCAGCTCAGCTAAGCTCACTTGCAAACACACAAAGATCCCCCGTATAGCCTGAACAGACTGTTGGGGCAAGTGCTTGTTATAGAGCACATATGAAAGCCGAGACGCCACACGATGTGAGCTTTTCACCACTCGCGCCAGATAATCATTTAAAGGCTGAGTCGACCTAGGGAAGGCGCAGACAAGGTTGGTTGACCACAAGTGGGAAATTAACTTGGGTCGCCGGATTCATAGTGCAGAGCACGAACCGCTGGGCTGACGTTCCCCACTCGCACACAACACAAAATCATAACCACAAGGCTGTTGTACTTGTAACTAAACATTTGGTGGTGCTGCTACTTTCGCAGTAGTGCACAAGGACAGTCAACAAACAACAACATAAACCCCGCACATTTGTCACGAACATTGTGGTCCGGAAATGAAACGTATATAATAGGCGACTTTTTGAGCAATGACCCTTCATTCATAGCAATTA